TTGGTCTACAGGTCGTCATGTCATGCGCATGCATAGTGCATGCATGCATGCATTTATGCGCATGGCGCCCATCTCTAGTTAAATCACTTCAAATTTTGACCAAATGTTGTGCAAAACCTAGGTAACGTTGCAGTATAAAAAAAAGGCATGTTTGTAAGACTGATTGGCATAATAAAAAAAAAACAATAAACTTTTACTTTTTTTCTACAAAAAAAATGGAGAGAAAGAAGGATCTAATGGAAAGCCAAAGAGGAGCAATAATCTACGGCCACCAGCACAGAGATTCTTTTCGTACCATTGTAGCTGCAATTGGTTGCAGCAAATTTTCTATGTGGAATGTCATAAAGGAGTTCAGTAGGTCAGACACAGAAGTGCAAAAAAAAAAAAAAAGGCCTGGCCGCCCAAAAACCCTAACCCAATCTGACCAGGAAAACTTAAAAAAGTTAGTAACCAACGGCAACCGCCGTCTTAACCTCCTTCAAATCACCAATCTTCGTAACTGCCATAGTGAAAAAAAGGTTTCCAAAAGTACCGTATGTCGTGCTTTGCACGACTTAAATTTGTCCTCATGTGTCGCTCCCTCAAAGCCGCTTGTCTCTGATGTGAATGTCAAAAAAAAATATGAATAGGCCCTTGCACATCAAGACTGGACTGTTGATAATTTTAAGCAGGTATTATGGTCAGATGAAACCACTATTCGTCTCTTTCAAGATTCTCCTGGCCATGTGTAGTATGAACCACACGAAAAATGGGAAATCGATTGTATAGGTTGCACTGTAAAGCGTAGCCCGGGTCATATGTATTGGGGCTGCTTCTCCTGGTTTGGGGTTGGGGCCCTTGTTCCACTAAAATCTAATGCCACTGGTGCCTCGCATCTTGAAATCCTTCATAAGTATATTGTCCCCGCTATAAATAAATTTTCATCAAATTATAGGCGTAGTCGCCCAACCTTTATTTAGGATAATGCAAGACCCCATGTTGCTACGGTAGCGAAAGAATTTTTGGAAGAGTACCGAATTCATGTGATGAATTGGCCCCCACAGAGCCCTGATCTTAATCTGATCAAAAATCTGTAGGAGGAAGTAAAGCAGTCAATACGTCATAAAAACAGGCCGGGTAGTCTTGATGAGCTGGATGCTCTTGTTAAAAAGGCATGGAATGATATACCACCAGAATTAATACGACGGTTAATCACCAGCATGCCCGATCGAGTTGCCGCTTGCATAAAAGCTAAAAAGGGACCCATAAAATATTAAAATAAAATTAGATTAGATTTTTTTTAGAAAAAAAAATAGAAAAAAAAAAAAAAGTTAAATTTTAGATTTTCACCCCAATAAAGAAAACCAAGTCCGTGGTTTTTTTTGTATAACTTTTGCTTAACTTAATGAAATCGTATAAAATTTTAATGTGATGTACCGTAAGATATGCCCGTCATATGACATAAAGTTCGTGCTACGTTTACTTACCGATCCTGAGAAACTGCGATCCCAAAAGTGTCCATAATAATATGGTACCTCCCTGTATATTTATTTAATTCAAATTTATTAAATTTTAATAAAGAGGTGTGGCGATCTAGTGTAGTGGTTAGGTTGTCACCCTCACCAAGTGGCAGGTTAAGAGTTCGAAACCCACCGAGGACGGAAAATTTAAATAATTACCTGTGTTATAGCAACTGTCTTTTATCAATTAATTGGAATAAGATACCTGTAACTATGGTCACACTAGCAAAACTGGCAGGTCTGGGGCATTTGTGCAACTTTGGGTTATACAAAGGAATGCAAACTGGTAATAGGCGGTGCAAATACTAGATAAGTCCCTAGATCGTGTAAATCTGTAGAACTGGGAAGATAGAAGCCTATTTGGGAAGACCCGAGTAAAGAGGTAGCACAGATCTTCAACAGTACTACTATAAAGGCTAGACCCAAGAAAAAGGAAATCGAAGTGGAAAAACCAGACAGGGTATGATTACTGTGTAGTAAAGCCAGTCCACCAACCAGGCTGCTAGGCTAACTGGAGAAAAAGGTCATAGCAGTGCTGATGAACCAAAGACAGATTACAGTCTTTCCAGGCCATCTGGATTGGGAGTCTAGAACCAAAAGCGGAGAGGAATTGAAGTACTAGGGATATGCTGTGAAGTGGATACCAGGTTTGGGTGAACTTTGCAAGAGCATAGCCCTGTTAATAGGACTATAGAGTGGGTAGGTTGTTAACAGGGAGGCACCTCGAGCCTTGCTACTGGGTAACGTACCTCTTAAAAAGGGTATAGCCTGGGTTTCTAGCACAGAAAGGGAGACCACATGTCAAGTTAGATGGCACTTGTTATACAGAAACTTAGGTGCTAACTGCTAAGTAGGTACAGAAAATTAGAGAGTTTAAAATAGGCAATCTTCTAGTAGGTTGCAGGTATGGCAACTAGTGTAGAACCTTTAGGCAGACTACTTAAATAGGCAATCAAAAGTTGTATGTGTAGCTAGTTGTACACTCGTTAATATACCAAAAATGTCTTAATAAAGACATATAAAAAACACAATAAAGCATTAAACAACCGCAATATCGGTCTTTAATAATAAAAAAAAAAAAAAAAAAAAATTTTAATAAATTGTTTTAGACTTATAAAAGGCCAAAGGTTGGTAAGTAATATTTTAAATTATTGTAAATACTGTAAATTTTAATTAATTCAAATTAGTTCGAATTTGCTAAATATAATTATTTTTAATACAAAGTTGTTCAAGTTGAATTAAATAAAGATATAGAAGACCAAAATGAAGAACCAAAAGCAAGTGAAAATGATTCTAATGATGATAATTCTTTAATCTCAAATGATGAAGATAATAAGAATGTTTCAGATAATAATGAAGAAAATAAGGATAATAATGAGTAAAAGTTTTTTTTTTTTTGTTTTTTTTTTTAATTGAATAATGCTGCGCTTTTTGTTTTTTATTTTTTATATAGAATTATCTGTAATTTAGCTTTTTTATATGTAATTTTTAAAATTTATATAAAATAAATAAAAAATCATCAAACAAATTTGAATAAATTTAAATAAATTCGAATTAATTAGAATTTATCTAATCTAACTTAATTTTATGTATTTTAAATATATTGTAATAATTTGATTATTTCATATTAATTTTTATTTATACAATCAAATAAATTACTTTTAGTTTATAAATATTTGTTGTAATGAAACTAAAAATAATTAGTTTAATTCGAATAGATTCAAATTAATTCGAGCTATTTTAAATTTTTATGCTTTGTTATACGTAATTTTACATAAACTTTATCGAAATATTATGAAATAAATTTTGAAATATTATGAAATAAATTTCAAAATATTATGAAATATATTTCAAAATTCAACATAAATTATTTCAGACAGTTTCGAATTATTTTGAATTTATTCAAAATATTTCAAATTAGTTTACGTTAGTTCAAAATATATATTTTGTAATATTTTGAAATAAATTTCGAATTATTTCGAATTATTTCAAATTAAGGCCATACAAATTTAATTACTTGGTTTTCATAACATGAAATTTTTAAATAGACCTGGCCGGCTGGCTTTTTTTTTTTTTTAATTTTCATATATAAAATTTTATAAAATTTATATAAAAAAAATTTTAAAACCCACCTGGTTATTAAAATATATAAAAAAATTTTTTAGAAGTTTTCAAATTTTGACCCGACCAGGTTATGAAAACCAATTTATTAATTTGCATAGCCTAACTTATATTATATTTTGAAATTTATTTCATAATATTTTGAAATATATTTCACAATATTTTAAAATAATTTGAAATAATTCAAAATAATTCAAAATAATTCAAATTAACTTACGTTATAGTTTGAAATATATTTTGTAATATTTCGAATAATATTTCGTAATTTATTTTAAAATATTCTGCCTAGACCATAATTATTGTACAATATTTTAGATTGTAATAACTTATATAAGTTTTCGTTTATATATTTTGCTGATGAGAGATTACTAATTATTTAATCATTAATCAAAAATTTCAAGTATTGAAATAAGTTTTTATTCAATAAGTTTTTAATTTGGTTATTATTAAGCATTAGTAAAAGTTAAAGTTTAACTATTTGATTTGATATTGTAATATAATATATATTTTTTGATTAAAATTTTTTATTTTTTATTTTTTTTTAACTCTTTAACAGTCTTGTCACTACCTTTATTAAAAAGATAATTTACATATGCAGAATACATGTAATATATCTAAACTATAATATTTAGGTATGACATTATCTAGCTGCTTCTTGAGTACTTAGATACGACCTGTCACACTGAACTAATGCATAAAACAGAAGACATTGTCAGCTCTGTTCAAGAGCCAAAACTTAATTTTTTTTATCTAGATCTTGGCAGAAAAGTTTTAGTAAGCCTGTTTTTCCATTTAATACAGTAAAATTAAGAAAAACAAAAAAGAAAATAAAACAATATTGCAAAAAAAAAAAGATAAGAAAAATAATCAAAAAAAAAAATAACTATAAAGAGGAACCTAAATATAAGACTTTAATATAACCATATAAGAACAAGATGAGAAAAAAACAAGTAAGGCTCTTAGACTAAGCTAAACAATGTAATAAAAGAAAAATAAAAGAAAGTGCACTATTGTAACCTGTACAAGGCTTAAAAAATTATATAACAAATACAATATCTGTATATTTCTACTATAAGACTTTGCCTTAATGTATTAGTTTCTTTTTAACTATATGACCAAATCTGAATAAGTCTTTAACTAAAAACTAGTTAATAGGCCTTGTTATGTAGAGTAGCAATGTGTTTATTATCAAACAAAACATGTGGTTGCAATCTACCAAGTCGACTGAATTTGGAAAGAGTAAACAATGCTAATCTTTTGATGAAGGTAAGCTGTTTTGCCAACTTTTTTTGAAAATTTTGTTGTAGGTACAAGTAGGTGATAGTAAAGAGTATAGACCTTGTACTTTTCTTAAAAGAAAGTATATATTTTATCAAAAATAGTAAGACAAGTAGATCTGAGTACACTGCTAATATTTTTTTTGGTAACTTGTTAGCAAGTAGTGTATAAGAACTACTTCTAAATACAATACACATTACCAACTCTTTCTGACGATCACTTGAACTATATTTTCTGAAAAAAAAAAAAACAATTACTAAGAAAAAACACCGGACGTCGAGGCAACCTCACGTTGTGAGGTCTAAATTATAAGACGTAGGAAAATGGACATAAGACAGCACCTGTCATTTAGAGGTAGCTCTCATACACTTCCTTGCCGACAGGTTTAGAGTTTATCACTCACTGCATCACGGCACTTGTCGTTTAGAGGTAGTTCTCATACGCTACCTGCCGAC